ATGCAAGAGGGACTTAATTAGAAGGACATGAAAATTTCTGAAGGAGAGTAAAATAAAATACCAAAATTGATGACTTAAGATGAGACCCATGAAAATCAAATGTAGAAATGTGATTAGAACACAAATCCAAGCTAAAAAATTCTATTAAAACTTATTGAACCTCAAAATGCATCCTAAAATTCACTAAACGTCTTACCCAAAGTCATGTCAAAGCAAACCAAAAGCAATTAAGATTCTAGAATGACAAAAGTGATTAAATTATTCAACTAATTGGACTATAACAAGACAAGGGGGAACTTAGGGGATTAAAGTGCAAGTGTTTTAGGACCTAATTGTAAGAACAAACACATAATTGGGTCACAGCAAGATAAGGGGAAACTTGAAGGATCAATGTGCAAAATTCAAAAGTATTTTCATGCAAAACCCATGCAATCACGTAGAAGGATTTCCTGATGCATTTTTCATCTTGGAACATCAAACTCAAGTTCAACCATATTCCTTAACTAAAACTTTCTTGATCTAAAACTCCAAAACTTTAAACTAGACAACCAAGCATAAAATGGGCATCAAACATACAAAGACATAGAAGAAAATCATGCAAACTTTGGGAATGCTTCATGCAAGCTTACGGATGAAACTAATACAACAAAACCTGCTGCATTTTCGTTTGTTCAAAAACCAGATTTTGAGCACAACTTTGATTGGATAGTTTTCAAACCAACATCACAAATTCAGACTAGACAAACCACTTCATAGTCACTACCATTCAAACAAGCAGGAAACTTAGCAAGATCTAGTGCAAAAAATCTGGAAAAAACATGCAAAAATGGCTCGGCAAAACAGATTGATTATTTTCCAGCCACAGCTTATCATGCAAACCAGATTTTTGATTCAACTACATGGCTTTGGTTGGATACTTTCCAATCCCAACATCATAACTCTAACTAAACAACAAGTTACTTAACCTTAACTCCAAACAAACAAGAACAATAAAGGAGCTAATGCATTACAAAATTCTGGACAGACATTCATGTGGAATGGTTCGGCAGCCTAAAGTTCATTTTTCCAGCAAAACATTCGGCCATTGCTCCCGTAATTCAGGTTTTAAACATGCAAACTCAAACACCTAACCTCCTATTTCCTTTCCCTCAAAACAGATTAAACATGCAACTTAGGGGGAAAGGACTTGGAGAGCAACTACGGAAGAGAAAACAGAACAGAAAATGCAATTCCTTTTGTTGTTCGCTGCGGAATTTTCTGCAGCTATGAGCTCATGTTGATTAAAGGCAGAAACATTGCTTTGGACTCCCCATTCATCTACCAAATGCATGCACATTTTCCAGATATCTGTTTTAGCAGTGAAGGAACCAAAAAGAATGCAGCAAAGACAACACCACACTTCAGCTAATGTATCAAAATGCAATGACGGACAAGGAGCAAGTGACATTGTTGTGATCTGCTATCGTGCCAAACCAACACTGCTTCAAATTACAGTCAGCAAATGCGAGGAATTACCACCAAGCAACCAGCAAACCAAAAGAAAATTCAAGACATTCCATGGACTTCAGCAAAAACAACAATTTTTACCCACTGAATGCAGCTAAAATGCAGCAAATTGCAGCAAATTGCAGCAAAAGACACCACTTCCGTCTTGCTGCAATTCACCCACGAAACATGCTCATACATCAACTTAAAACTAACCTACCAAGTGTAATGCACAAAATGCAGTAAGGAAGCGTGAACTAGCTACCAGAAATTCCAACCATGATACCCAGCAATTCCAACCGTGAAGCATGCAAAATGGAAACCAGAAATTCCAACCCATTTCCAAACCAAAGAACACCATGATATGCAAGCCTTTCATTGCTAAAACATTGCAAAAAACATAAAGGAAACGGCACTCAAGGATGCACTTAAGAATCCAGACATGACAATAATCCTAAAACCGAAAACCTTTTGCAACTTTCTGGTTTTGTTCATTCAAGCACCACTCAGGGCTTTAATCAATGAAACATGAATCAGGGTGACGACGTGACTGCACATTTTTCCACTTTGAACCACAAAACTCTCATGTTTAGATGCAAAATTTAGAGGGAAAGAGCCTACGAAAATCTGGAAAAATTTCTACAATTTCCCTTTCGGCAAACCTGAAGATTAAACCACCGACCAAGGGAAACTAGAAATGATTTTTATATCCTGGGTTCCATGACTTATAACAAACACAATTCAAACACGAAGATATGGCCATAACGATTTACCTAACCAGAACCAGAGAGAAAACCACGAAAACAGAAAACAAAATATGGCGTACACAAAGAAGAAATTTATGCAACGAAACTCAGATTTTCCAAATGGTATGGAAAATGACGGCAAGAAAGGCTAGGATCACCTTGGCGAAGTAAGTCAACCGTGAGAACTTCAGGCAAGAGACGCTGGTTTCTGGAGAGCAACGCCCAGGCAGATCAGCGGCAGCAGTGCTGGAGAATCCTTGCTTTTCTTTTCCTTTGCTGATGACTCTCTCAGCCGTAGCTCTCTCTATTTCTACCTCCTCCGCTATTCTTTTTCTTTTCTCTTTCCTTTGCTGTTTTTTATCTCCCCGGCTCCCTCTTGTCTCTCGGCTTTCTCTCTGTTTTCCGGTTCCTCTCCAAGCTGTTCTTAGATGCTCCCCCTTCAACCCCTAGCCGCTACCTAGCCTTCTAGTTTTTTTTCCGTTCCCGAATCTTCTCCCTAAAAAACTCCCCCCGATCCTCCTCTGCGGCTCTCCTTTCTTTTTCCATTTATATGAGGCACTCAACCCTAAAACAATCTCCCCATATTTGCAGCTAAAGGGGCTGCCCAGCCCTTGGTTTGCAAGCTGCGGCAACACGCAGCTTGCATGCCGCGTTTCACTCTTTTTTTTTTTTTTTTTTTTTTTTTTTAACTTTCAACTTAATAAATACAGAAATGATAAAATAATAATAATAACAAATTGACAAAAACCAGATAATAATAATAATAATAATAATGAAAATAATTTAAGAACTAAACAACTAAAAACAACAAAAATGGCCATTTTTCCATCTTTTTCACATTTTCTTTTTTTCATTTTCATTCATTTTCTTTTTCTCAAAATAACTTAATAAAAATAACTAAAGTGCCCAAAGATTGAATTTAAAGAAATAAACATATTTTGTGAACAAATTTTCCTTTTTCCTTTTTTTTCTTTTTCCTCATTTTTCTTTCAAGAAAGCATTGAATAAAAACAAAATGACTAAAACGTATTTTTGATGACTAAAACATATTTTTGGTGTTTTCCTTTTCTTTTCCCTAAAAACTCTATGCTAATTTTAAACTTAAAAACTAAAACTAAAAACTAAAACTAAAAGTAAACAAGAATAAATAGCAAATGAAACAGGTCAACAAAAAGGGCGAAAATGAATAAAACTAAAATATCATAACAACTAATAGTGCAAAACACACAATAACGAACTAAAATGCAAGCAATCTAAAAATGAAAATCATGAAATAGATGCTACATAAAATTATTCAAAATTTGGTGTCTACAGCCATAGCTCAAGTGTTTTTGGACCCAACCATGCAAAACTCAACACTAAACTTTCCATTTTCTTCCCTTCTACATAAGATTAAGTATGCAACTTAAGTGCAAAAACTCAACAAACCAGTCACGGAGAAGAAAACATCACAGAGAAATGTAGCAGCTTTTTCTACTTGGGCCTAGATATGTTTGGGCATGAGAACTCAAACAAACTTCACTAATTTAACAACCCAATGTCATTATCCTCACCAAAACGCCATCATCTACCCTTCCTCATAACTGGTTTCATTTCTGCAATTTCGTAATGCTTTGAAAAACTTTTTCTGGTTCCCTAAAACATTTCATTCAACCAGCCAACCATTTGCAAATTTGTCACCGTGAGAAAAACCAAAGCAAACAAGTCAAGATTCAATTAAGGCTCATAGCAAAATCATCCAAAATATCAATAACAACCCATGACCTCAATTTGAAGACAACAGCCTCTCGGACGCACCAGTGAACATGACAAAACAGAAGTGAAAGCAACGAGGATGACAAACAAGCGTAACTAAGGAGCCTGAATCTAATCGTACTTCATATCTGGTCTTCCTATTTGCAACAAAGTGCAGATTGAACTTAGCAAATCATGGCCATAATCATTTAATAACAGAAACAATACAGCCGGGTCAAAGATTGCATTTTTATTGCTGGTTTTTATCTAGGACCGAAAATAGAAACATAGACTATGGGAACAAAACAAGTAGCGGAACTCTTGGTTGCGAAAAAGGATAAAAGAAGAGGCTACCTTGAGAAATGATTGAGCTTTTCAGTAGACCGACGAAACCTGCTGCAACCTCTTTGCAGGAGACCGCCAGTGAAAGCCCAGAGATCCGGCAACCCTGGTTCTTTTCGCTCCTCTTTGCAGTTTTCCTTTTCTACGCTGCAAGGCTTTGTTGCTCTCACTGTTTTCCCCTCCAAAACTCTTGCCTCTTTCTGTTCAGCCGTCTAAAATCTCTGGTTCTTAGCTCACACTCTCTCTGGTCTTTCTTTTCTTTTTTCCTTTTAGCTCTGCCGCCGTTACTCCAGCTCTCTCATCTCTCAACCAGCCGTCAAGTCCTCCCTTCGTTTCTTTCTTTTTGCCGTCCCCTTCTCTCCCCTTTCTTATGCAGCCGCCAACCCTCCTTCTCTCCCTCTCCTAGATTTGCAGCCATCACCCCTCTCTATTTTCTCCCTTCGTTTTCAACCGTGCTCTCTTCAATGAAATCCCGTAGCTTTCTGCCTTTCTCTACACCGTATCCCTTTTTCTCTCAGACTTCCGCTGTTGTTTCTTTTTCTCTCAGCCCCCCCAAAACCCTTAGTTTCATTGCTGTCCCTTTTCCCAGCTCTCCCCGTAGATGTATGAAGTGACACTGGTGGTTTCTAGTTTCTGGCAATAATTGTTTGTATTCATTACTTAAATGTAAACAAGGGTCATCACAAATCCTTTTTTTTTTTTTTTGCCCTTTTCATTCTTGAATAAAGGTTGATGAAACTGCAAGAAATTTGAACAGACATTGCTTTAGCAGTTTAGCACCATTCTTTGAAATTTTGGATATTACCATCTCCAACACAGGGCACAAAATGGATATGGGTTAATCAGGGAGCTTTATCCAGTGTCTTTTGTGCTTTTTGGTATTTAGGGCAGGGAGCTTTGCACTAAGAGGTTTGTGGATTTCTGTGCAGGTGTGATGTTTATAGTTTTGGCATCATTTTGTGGGAATTAGCAACCCTCAGACTACCTTGGAATGGGATGAATCCAATGCAGGTTGTGGGTGCTGTAGGCTTTCAAAATCGCCGTCTTGATATACCAAAGGAAGTTGATCCATTAGTAGCTAGAATAATTTGGGAATGTTGGCAAACGTAAGTTGCACAATATGACTACAGCGATGCATTTTTCTCTTTCATTTTGTCAGTTTTTCCTCAACTAATCAGTCTTGCCTGTTCTATGCCATTTTCTTTTACCAGGGACCCAAATCTGCGCCCTTCATTTAGTCAACTCACAGTGGCATTGAAACCATTGCAGCGGCTTGTCATCCCTTCGCACATAGATCAGCCAAGCCAACCCATGCCTCAGGAGATCTCGGTGAATTCCACGCCTTAAGACACATCTCAGATCCTCAACTGTGAAAAAATATTGTTGTGTTTGCACAGGATGACGAACATGAACTATTCAGAGAAAGTGATAAAGTTTTGGAGTCGCTTCCCTGATGGAAACAAAAGCTGGGGATTTGCTGTTTGAGTTGGGAGTCAGAACTCAAATTTGCGAATGCAGTTTTAAGGTCAAAAGCAAAAGTTAATGTGTGTGTATTGTTTCTGCAGCTCAAAACTTGCTGTGGCTCTTCTTGTACAGTGGCTTGTGCATATGTGATCCCAATGCTTAAAATGTATAGCTTGATGTCTTGTAATATTTCTTGTTGGTCTCATTAAAAATATTGAAAAGCTACCATGTTATCATTGCTCGGCGCAAAAAAAAAAAAAATCATTTTAAGCCGATAATAATTGCTGCTATTTGCCATTGGAACACATTTTCTTTAGCAAATTGTCTGATTCAATTATAATGGGGATGAACAGATGATTTGCGATATTAAATCCCAAGTCAAAATGTTGCGTTAACAGGCCGTTTCTCAAGTTCAAGGGAATTTGGTATGCGATATTCCGGACTTGTATTAAAACGAGATTGACAATTTTGTCTCACCCAGGAATACATCTTTAGAGTATATCGTTATGAATGCGTTACTTTTTGAAGGAGAAGTTTAGACCTCTAGTAAAGGTTCTTTTTTTTTTTTTTTTGGAGGAAAGACCTCTAGTAAAGTTAATATAGCAATTTAAATCTCAAATTTATCAAAAGACAGAGAGACAGAATTTTTTTATTAGAAGACAGAAATTATAGAAAGATTATAAAGTTGATACATGATAAAAAGCGACAAAGAGTACCTATTTTCATGAAAAAAAATCATGGTGGAATAAGGTATCTCCACCCCATTCATCGCGCCGTTCCCCATCTCTATAAGAGATATATACAAAAATATAGGTTAATTTCTACTTGTCAATACCCTATGTAACTGAATTTTAGTTAGTGTTTAGTTTGGTTGTGGTTGTAAATGAACAATATTTATGGCCTTGGTTTCAACCTTAGAAGTTCTATTTGATTGCTCTTGAATTTAGAGCTACAAACCAATTGAGTCTCTCACAAGCAGTTTGACTCCGAGTTCGAGTCAAATTCGATCAACATCGAGATCCAACTCGAGTTTAAGCTAATCAAGTCGAATTCGAGATAAAAAAAAATACCTGACTCATTAGTTTGCGAGCCTGCTCGATTATATATGTTTATTTTGTATTTTTATTTTTAATAGTAAAATTATATATATATTCTTAATATTTTATTATTTGTTAAAACATTAATATTTTATTTATTTTTTTAAAAATAAAATAATTATTTTTTTTGTTCTTTTTAACTGGAACTTTACATTGAGAGTTCGAATTCGAGTTTCATAAAACTAAATTGAGACTCGGCTCTGCTTGGCCAAAATTCGACTCGTTTATACCCCTACTCTTGATTACCTCGTGTTGGTGCTGGTACCACTAGCAAGAAGGCATTACATGTACTTTATAGGTGGCAAATAAATCCATTTAGCTAATTTTACCTATACTTGTCCATGAATAGTTGGATATGGGTATATTAAGTTTTTACATATGGATATAAAATGGGTTACCCAACAAGTAGGATTTTGCCCATGCCTTAGCACGGACTTTTTTATTTATTTATTGTGAATTTATACAAATATAAATAATTTAAATATAAAAATTAACAACATTTCTACATGTTCATTCATATTAATTTTAAAAAATTACTGTAATTTAAATGTACAATTATTTACTAATTTTTAAAAATTTTTTATTCATTGTGAATTTATACAAATACCAATAATTTAAATATAAAAATTAACAATAATTTGACCTATTCATTCATATTAATTTTAAAAAATTTTAAAATTAATGTATATTAAATGTTCAATTATTTACTAATTTTTAAAAATTTGTTTACATGCTTTTACTATAATATGATAGTATACATCAAATAATATACCACATATCAAAAACTTGGTAGATATTCTTTTTTTTTAATAAATGTTCTTTTAGATAATTTAAATTTTTATAATGACCATAAACCTAGAACTATGTATTCATAAAAAGATCTAGCAATCCATTTTTCTTTGTCAATAAATATTTAGTTTTCAATAATATTGATAAATCTATCAATGTAACAGTTAATTCTTTTTTTACACTAAATTAATTCAAAATTAAGAGAAAAGATGATGAGCAATTTGAATACTAATCAATGATATAGTGATGAAATGAAGTAATTTATGGGATATGTAAGATTTCAATAATTGTGATTTAGAAAGGTTTTACTATACTTCTATGTAATAATTTGGTAGAAATAAGATTATGGTGGTGCAAGAAAGTAATTTTTTGGGATGTAAGGTTTCAATAATTGTGATTTAAAAAGGTTTTACTATACTTTTTTTTTTATAATAAATAGAATAATATTATTAATCATGAGATCAAATCTGCAACAAGTGCAGAACTAATAAAAGGTGGAGGAGAGTTTTTCCATATATACAATCTAAAAGATTAACAGCTTATTTGGCAAGGTTGTGAGTAGGAATATTAAAAGATCTAGGAATTCATGAACCTTCCCAACACATGAAATTTTGACATAAGATAATGGCATCATGAATCAACAAACCACATGATGAATCATCAAATTCCAAATGGTCCGGCATTTTAATGACCTTTTGTGAATCTCCTTCCAAAACAATCTTATTGAAACTGAAATCATGTAGTAATTGAAGAGCATGTTTGGCCGCATATGGTTCAACTACATTTGGCTCCAATATCCCGAGAATTTTTTTGGAAAGTCCAGCAATGAAACTTCCTTTATCATCTCGGATAATAACACCGACCCTTGATGATTTATCATCCATAAATGCAGATCCATCAAAGGTTTTACTATACTTGTATGTAATAATTTGACAAAAAGTAGATATCATTAAGATAAGATTAGTTATTTTTTAAAGTTATTTTAAAATTAAAGATAAATTTTAAACATATAATATAATCATTGTAATAATTTGATGGAAAACAGCAATCATTAAGATAAGATTAGTTAAGATTGTTGGTTTTTAAAGTTATTTTAAAATTAGAGATAATTTTTAAACACATAATATAATCCAAATCGAATTAGTATGGGTAAAATCCAAATGACCCGTAACCCGTTAATTCTTTTCAATTAAACATGCCACGTAGGAGTGAGAAATACTGTGATTAAAATAACTATTTTTACACACATACACACACACGTAGATTTGAGTTGTTCGTGAGCCGAGCTACTCGCGAGTAGCTCGGTCAACAACTCGACTCGAACTCGGTCAACCCGAGTTTGAGTCGAGTTTCGAGTAGCTCGACTACAAATCGAGTCGAGTTTCGAGTCGCATTTTCCGAGCTCGTGGCTCGTCGAGTAGCTCGACGAGCCGGAGTTATTTAAATAAAATATTTATAATTTAAATAATATATATTTATTATAATTATAAAATGACCATTATGGGTATAAGTTATATGGAATTTACAATATACCCTTCTTTATAATAAAATCCTATAATGGCAAAAAAGTAATAACATAATTGTAAAAAACACTAAAAAGAAAAAATGTCTAAAAAAAAGGAAGAAAAGACTTTCTTCCTTCTCTGTTCGACTTTCTTCTCTGTTCGAAGAAAGCCTAGCAAAAAAATTCACTTTACCAGCCGGCAGCCACTGACTGTGACTGATTTAGATCTACACCCTCACTCCGTTCGTCGCCGACGCCGTTGCTCGCCGCATATGTGAGACTCCATCGCCATCGCCATCGCCATCGCCATCGCCTTAACAAGTCCCAAGTCCCAAGTCCCAAATCGAAGCTGCTCTCTGCCTCTCCGGCCTCCGCCAGTCCGCCGCGCTCTACGTCTCCTGTCGGCTGTGTCCTGCCGTGCTGGTTCATCGCTGCCGAGTGTCGAAGACGAAGCACCAAGATCTCACTAGTTCATCGCTGGTTCATCACTGCTCATCTCTGGCTCACTTAGGTAAGTGCTCCTCTGTTTTTGGCTCTGTGTCTCTGGCATTAAAATGGGCCAAGATCGACTAGGAAACTTGTTATCCTGAATCGATAAGGGGACGAAATCTGAGCTTCCAATTGCAAACTCTAACTGTTGTAGTAGTTTAGATTAGGTGTGATATAACATAAGCTTTGTATTTTATACACAAGAAGCTCTCTCCAGTTGTGTAGCCTTTAAAAGTTAAGGCCTTGGGGTTGAGGCTATGTATAGACATTTGTAATCTTGTAGAAAGTGGGGTTGAGGCTATGTGTTGGTGTTCCACTTCGGGTGTTCTGTTTACGGAGTCTTGAAGGTCTTAACTTGCTTGTTTGATGCTAGAGTTTGCACCCTTGCGACTTCTGAAAGATTTACATTTCTGGGACCACACATGTATAAGCTTTAAGTACAATGTGATTTCTGTGCTATTTAGTCAATTTTTATAATTTCATGGCTGAAAGGAATAAATTTGCTTATTTTATGTGTTCCTGGGTAGTTAAAACCTTTATTTGAAGTTTTTGTAGTAGAAGCTACATTCCATCAGATAGTTGTTAGTGTTGTTTGAGGATTTTGCTCTAGTATCTGCTGCATTTTCCTTTTTTGCCTGCCGTTTGTATAAACTTAATGACTATTGTCTAGTTTTGTTGCATTAGTTCGTGCCTGCATTAATTTTTTTGCTCAGAAATATTAATTGTTAGATCTGTGTCGTTTTCTTGTGATTCTAGTTTGGAACTTGTTCTTTTCATTTTCTTGTTATTCAAGTTATATTCCATCAGAGAGAGAGGTGTAGCTGTATTTGAGCATTCATTTTTGCATGTTGAAAATAAGATCTTGAGTGCTGTTGATTGCTATTTTTAATTTTACTTTTATTACAAATGGATTTAGATCTGCTTTGTACGTAGATGATTATACTTGTGTTTATGCGTGTAGCTGTGCCAAAGTTTATCGGTCTTCATACATGCCCTTATGACCTCCTCAGTTGAGCACATGCGCATGCCTTTCTCTCTCTTTAGATTCAACTCCTGGATACTGAGTTGACTGGTTGCATCTCTACACTATTGCTGTCATCTCCTATTATGATTCTTTTAAGGAAATATGGTTTTACCGACATTAATCCCAGGGTTCCATTGTTGGGCAGGACTTAACAACTTATTATGGTCCTATGCTATGAGGCATTTGTCGTGGTAGAAGAGTTCCTTTTCTTCCCTTGTTTACCCGCGTATAGAAGTATAAAGCTGTTTACAGTCACCTTTGATCTGGTTTTTTGGTCAAATCGAGTCAAAAAGCTTGATAAGACTCGACTTGATAAGGCTCGATTAAAGATCGAGCCTTATCCAGTCGAGTCTCGAGCCTAAGGAAATTCTTCGAGTCGATCTTCGAGTATCGATTTTCGGGCTCAATCGAGCTCGAGTCGAGCTCGAGCCTCTGTGTGTATGAGTCGAGTCGAGCTCGAGTATAGCGATACTCGAGCTCGACTCGACTCGATTACATCCCTAACGTAGATATCCACTAAATCCAATTAATCAATTTAAAATTATTTTTAGCATGCTTGTTCAAGTAATTTTGCTAAAAATTCCCTGTCCCACCTCGCGGCCCGAAGCCATTCCTACTCAGGTCCCACAAATATCAAACTTATTGTCACTTGATCAAACAACAATGGGTAGATAATTACTACAAGAGAAGCTATGATCTATAATAACCACTATGCAAGGCAATTGGGGCTGATGCCCAGTGGATATAACATGCCCGTAGTCCGTACTCTTAAATGCAATATTAAGTATACTTCCGAGAGAGACGATTATCCCATAGTGGATATAAACCTTATGCCACGCTGGGCCAATATCATATGCCCGACCTTGGAATGGATAAATTCCACTAGTGCTAAATTTTTTAATAACCCATAAGTTTAGGGGTTATGTGAAATAAATTATTACCTCAATTATGATGAATTTTAAGATGACAAAACAATTAAAAAAATAGGAAAACAAAGATTAAAATGCATATTTTGCCCTTCTCTCTCTGTCTTTCTGTCCCGCCACCACCGTATGCGCTTTGCTGTGCTTTTGCCATATGTGCTTTGTCGTGCTTGTGCCAACTGCCTCAAATCACACATCTCTTCTGAAATTTTTTTCTGCTGTGACTCTCTTTGTATCTTTCAGTGCCGCCACCACCATACCATCACCAGCCCCACCGGCAAGGGTTCACCACCTTTATTTTGCCCAGAATTCCGGCAGCTGGTTAACTCAAGTGAGCTTCATCTTCCCCCTTTTTATTACTTCTATCATTTTCTGTAATTTCTTGACTTGTACCAAATATGTGGCTGCTTCCATTGCACCTCTCTGCCTGACTCGTGTTAGTCCAACGACCTGCCTTCAATCCCATTTTCTTGACATGAAGGAAAAGGGATATTTTATTTCTTCATTTTGGTGTAAAATATTGTTGGTTTTTTTTTTTTTGTGTGGCTTTTCTTCAATTTTATCTGAATATTGAAGTTAAAAGACCATTGTTCATATGGTATGGTAAAATGGCTTCAGTACATCACGGTTGCTGAATTCGGCGTGTACCTAATGTAGCCATTCTTGCTTCTTAACTATCTACTATCTAACTTTCCTATTGTGCCATAGATTTAGAACTCCCCCCTATTGTTTTAATGTTACATCCTCCAAAAAAAAAAAAAGAATAGATAAGGTTGTTTTGCAAGTCAGAAGCTTGATTAAGCACGTAAACAACTTCTGATGCTGCTGGCTGAAAAGAGAGAGAGAAAGTGAAGACTCGGAGTCTTTCTTGTGCCTCCTTTGTCCATTTTTTATGCTAGTCTAGTGTTGCAAAATAGTCCTAAAGCGAATTGACCTTGTTTTTTGGTCTCAGAAATTGAAGGGAAACAGGGGAGTCAAAAAAAATAAAAATAAGAAAACAGCTGGTTTGGTTTAATTTGATAGAAAAAGGCATTTTATCGCAGAACTGAAGGTCTTGTTTGGGACCCTCCCTGCGTATCCCAGACGCTCTAAAGCAGAGAAATATTCTCTAACTCTTCTTAGTTTTTCCCTTTTGTTAAATTTATCTGCTTTCAAATAATGTGAAGATTGTAACTGTTAAAAAAAGAAGGAAACTTTAATAGGTTGCATTCAGAGTTCTTATTATGATGATTATTGGATGATGGGCTTTTCATACTAATCTGCTATGGGTGTTCTCTCAGAATGCTTTGTTTGAGGTTTACTCCGGTTAGTTTCACTAAATGGTGGGAACCGGTTCAATTTCACCGCATGAATAAAAATGTTGTGGTAAGTTTCTCCATTCCCTGCAGTACATATTTATTACTCTTTATTGGGTTTAGTAGTTTTCTAGGTGTCAGTGGTCTGTGACATTCTGGATAATGTATAGTACTATATAGGACAGTGCTTTTAAGCATCTGACTTTCAACAGTTTAAGATTTCTATCTAGATGTTTTCAAGCACTGTATTAGGACCTTTTCCATAATGCTAACAGTAGGACTTATTTTTTGACAACTGCAGTATTTCTTTGCTTCATTATTTGGTCAGGTGTTAGAATTGGCTCAATGGTTAATTTTCCTGCTTTTGTATATACAAGGAGCTTCAAATTAGTGACAGAGATTGATTCATATGGTTTTCCTACTTCACAATTGGAATAAAGTTATCCACTATAGTTACCTGCTTATCCTAGGAATATGGTTTGTAGGGTGAGTAAGAAGTTGACTCGATTGAGTCATAACTCAGATGGTCGTTAATGTTCGCAGTCTGACAGATTATTTGCAAAATACTAGATGGACCTGTCTTTCTTTGTTCTCCCCTACTATGACCAAAATCTTAGGTGTTGCTCTTTCACTAACTGGTAATTCAGAACTTGTTTGTTGCATAAGATGTTATATGATTTTAGTCAAAGCTGTAGATTTTTAGTATGCTAATGGAACACTTCTTTCTTCCATATTTTGTTTGGAACCTTATCTCCATGGCACAATATGTTACTGCTCAGATGAAACGGACCTGGATATCATTAACTTGCAGATAAATACTTATGGACCTTAATAAGATTTTTATTAAAGGAATAAGTAAAATTTTGGTTCAGAAGGGCCCAAGATATTAATTCAGCCGATCTTTACAAGCATTGTAAGTTAATCTCAATTTCTCAGATAGGGGATTTATATACATCACCTGTTTGATATCATATGGCACTTCTCTTGATGAGTTTGCTGAATTTAAAGCTTAAAAGCTATTATTAAACTAATGATCTATAATCTCTTATTTATCTTTTCTCATAAGCTATCCTATAGCGTAGCCTTGTACATGGCAAAATATGTTTGTTGTTGGATACTGTTCTAGTAAGCTACAACCTTTGTGTGGTAGTGGTCAACTGTATGGTCCACCTGACTCATAATGTTCCCTCTCATGATCATAAAAAATATAAGTATATATCTATCTATCGCATTAGACAAAACTGGCGCCTCGTATGTCTTTATTCAGATTATACATAGGCACATGTCAGTCAACATCATCTGCATCGCTTTTGGAAATTTAATTATAATTTGGCTGGAATATGTACAGAGACAATGATCAAACTGAAACTTGCAAGTGAAAAAGGTTATGAAGGTAGATGAGTTGATTCTGGTTTTTGTCATTGTGAGAACTTTGTATTTTTCTGTCTTCTGCTTAATACAGTTTAATATACCTCAGGTATGTGCTGCTAAAGGTCCTCGACCAAGGTATCCCAGAGTTTGGAAAACCAGAAGGAAAATAGGGACTATCTCCAAGTCTATAAAACTTGTTGAATGTGTAAGTTCTCTTTGCCTCTCTAGAATGTGATTTAGGTACTCTTTTATTGCATACCACTTTTGAGTTTTGTTGGACTGTTGCATATGGAAGAAGCTAATGGTTTACCTTTTTTTTTTTGTCAAAAATATGATAGCTATGACTAAGATTTTTAACAGCTTCAGAAACTATAATTTTCATACCTGAGCTAGCCATTCCATTTTGAGGCTGACCGGAAAACAGAAAGAAGTTTTTAATACATATTGAAAGGAAAACCATTATCTGGAGTCTTGTTCTGTGCGCAATGCATGGAACTTCGATGCTAGTCCAGCTAGGACAGTTTTGAGCGTGAATATAAAGTTCCATACATTTTGACTGGAAAATTCCTAATGCTTCTGTCTTGGAATAGGCTGAAATTAAATTTTAGGGAATTCTATCTTAGATAATTGGTATTGGTTCTATGATATTCCAAGTTTACCTATGTAATTAATCACACATTCTTGATTTCTTCTAGGGACTTACTGAAACTAAATGACTTATACTGTAATTCAGTATTGGAGAAAGGAAAAGACTATTTTATCGACAGGATAGTATATCAAACTGGAAGATATGATGTATCTTTGTGCTCGAATTAAATGAAATCTTTATAGTCTAGAATGTTCCTCAGCTCTCATGAGGTTCCCTTCATGGTTTCGCAAAGTCACCAGAATGCTTCTTGTGTTATGGCTTGTGATTTCCTTTTTTTTTTTTCAGCCGAAGCCAGAATTGAACCACTTAAAACTTTTTTTGTTAACAATCCTTGTAGATAAAGGGATTATCGAACGTCAAGGAAGAAGTTTACGGTGCTCTCGATTCATTTATTGCCTGGGAACTGGAGTTCCCTCTAATTACAGTTAAGAAAGCTTTAAAGACCCTTGAAAATGAAAAGGAATGGAAGAGAATAATTCAGGTAATATGAATCCAGTGGCCCTTGCTGCTGTTTCAAGGGTTTTTGGTGTCCTTATCTTATTAACAAATTAATAGGACCCCTTTGATTGCAGGTCACAAAGTGGATGCTAAGCAAAGGTCAAGGAAGGACCATGGGAACCTATTACACGTTGCTTAATGCTTTGGCTGAGGATGGGAGGCTTGATGAGGCTGAAGAACTCTGGACTAAGTTATTCTCCGAAAATCTGGAAAGCATGCCTCGTCTTTTCTTTGAGAAAATGGTATCCATATACTATCGCAGGGAAATGCATGACAAGATGTTTGAGGTACCATTTTTGCTTTTTTCATTTGCATTCATCATTTGGTGCCTTTTTTCCTTTTTAGTTCAGTGGAATCTCCTCCTCTCTCTCTCCGCCCCCTGCCCCCTGCCCCCCCTCCAATAAAAAAAACCACCACCACACTCACACATGTTTTTCACATTTATTCAACTCATTTTGCATTTGGCCTGTGAAAGCGTATAGACCTGGCATTGAAACCAACAAATATAGTTAGTTCAGTTCCTAAATCTGCATGAGCTTGAAACTGGGAACATTACTTAGAAGTCAACATCCATTTCTAGTTCATGTAATGGACCAACTTTATTTGGCAAACATACAAGGTTAGACATACTATTGTATCATTTAACTTATGTCACTTTATACTTCATTGCTAATATTTTGATACCCTTTATAACCTTTCACTCAGAAGATCTTTGGATGCCATTTGCTTTGCTTGAGTTGCTGTCTTGCATTCCTTTCTGAAAATATTTGCTTTGTGGAGTTCTCCAGTTCCTAATTACATCTAAAAGGGATTTTGCCTTTACGAGCTCCTGTATTAAACATAGGTATTCGCTGACATGGAAGAGCTTGGAGTAACACCTACTAGGTCAATTGTGAAAATGATTGGAGATGTGTTTCAGAAGCTTGGTATGATGGACAAGTGCCAAAAGCTGAACAAGAAATATCCACCACCAAAGTGGGTATATAGATATATCAAGGGAAAGCGTGTCAGAATTAAAGCCACAGATCTTTATGATTCTGATGATAGAAATTCTGTAGGTGATTCTGATGATGATGCTAACAGCGCTTCATCTGGGTCAACTGAAAATACTGAAATTCAGATGGATGAGCAGGGTGAGGTTGACCATCATCAGAATCAAGCTACTGATGTACGTTCTTTGGAATCTGTTAAACCAATTGAATCTAAAGTCTTCTGAGCCCTTTTGTACAGTTAAAGTTATTTGATTATTCCAAAATTCATGCTCAATATATGTATATTTTTTTGCCTGGAGAAAGTCTTGACTTGAACTCCACCCCATGTATGAGCCTGGAGGGAGAAAGGGAGAAATTTACATGGCTTCAGCCTGCGTAGCTCTTCCTTTCCCTTGGTGCATGCAAAACTTACAAGAGTGAAAATATTTGAAGTTTTTATTACTAGAATGCACGCGGATTGGTTATAAAACCCCAAACTTTTTATAGGCTGCAACGGTAATTTTTTTTTTTTTTTGGCTAAACAAAGGGAAAAGTTCACTTTTCGTCCTTAAACTTTCGTTCCAAAATTTTTAGACGCACCATATTTAGTATATAAATTAATTATTTTGGATCACATTTAATCCAAAAAGGGTAAAATATTCAATTTGGACGGAAAAAGTCGATGATTTTGATCGAGAAATTATTTTTATTTAACAGGTATGGGCTAAACACGTGATTTTCTCCATCCATATCAAGTAATTTACCATTTTTGGATAAAATACGGCAAAAAATAATTAATTCATATACCAAATGTAATGCGTCTAGAAGTTTGGATACGAAATGTATCTTTATTTCAAAGTTTAGGAACGAAAAGTGGATTTTTCCGGATAAACAAAGTTTAGGCGGACAGGCTTGATTAACAGTAGGCTATAGGTCGAACAAAGGCTAGCTTCAGAATGAGCTACTACAAACGAGATTCCTTGGCATTTGAGAAAGGACAGCGTTTGTGTGAACACCCAGAAAATGAAAATTAGACTGATGGATTGATATCTGTAGAAAGGAAGCTGTAAACAACCAAGTCGCATAAATTCCCCTTGAGATAGCTATACTTTCTCAATGTGCCCTCCTTCAGAAACCCAGCTTTCTCCAGTACCCTTTGCGAGGCTATATTTTCCGCAGCAGCATAAGCCTGGAGCCTTAAAACTTCAGGGAAGTCCTTGAACACCTGAGGAACAGCCAACTTTAAAGCCTCAGTAGTGATGCCTTGGCCCCAATATTCAACTGCTAAAGCATATCCTATGTCTGCTCTGCATCTCTCATCCCCTGATCCAGGGAAAACTGATACAAAACCCTTCGAAAGATCGTCGACACAGATCGAACGACGCCAAGGATGGGGTATACAGACTTCCCCGATGAAGGTCAATGCCTCCTCTTTTGATGCCAGAGTCTTCCATCTGATGGACCGAGTCACTCGATCATCACCTGCCCACAGAAGTAAATCATCCGCGTCCGACAGCCTGAATGGACGGAGCGTGATGCGTGAAAGGTCCATAACAATGTGAAAATGGAGGAAATGGTTGCAGAACAAAGAGTGGTTAAAGAAAGGTCTCCCAAGGAATATGCTAGCCTTTTAAGTCAAATGGAACGTTATATATTGTTGTACAACTCAGTACTGCCATACATAAACAAATAATCAATCAATCAAATTTATAGATAATGTGTCTCTGCTGTGCACTGCAAGAACACTTAGTCAAGTCCAACCTTGTTTTACATAATCATGATTTCATTTTGACGAGTGGTGCATACGTCGACCATCAGAATTGGCGTGCTAACAGTACTGATTAACACAACTATCACTGCGAAGTACTATGTTTAAATCCTTCATATACTAGTTGTATAAAAAAGAGGCAATTATGTATAGGGTGTAAACGAATCTAATTAAATCAAACACTCTAGCGTTCAAATTTGTTTGATTATTTTAACAAGTTCAAAGTTTTGTTTAAACTTATTTTTGTTTATTCGCTGAATGAAATTTGAATGAATTTTTTATCGAATTTGAATATTATTTAACATAAAATATTGTTCAAATTTAACTTGACTAATTGGCAATCCAAGTTTGAACAAACTCTTGTCAAACTACGGCTATCAGCGGTTCGGGTTTGGATCCGGACCCAATAGTTTTTTCTGGGTACGGGTTGAGAAATAAATCGGTTACTAAGATTCAGACCCGTTTATTCTAACAACAAAAAAGGTCAGATACAAAATATAGGATTCTGACTCATATCCGACCCGAACCAGGACAATATTTTAATAATTATAAAATATAAATATTTCTAAATTCAATAATTATTCTTTTACCAAATTAACAAATCCTAATCTTGTTGTGGCCTTATTTCTAAATACAATAATATTTATAAATATAATAAAATATTTCTAAATACAATAATTTTTTTAAATACATTATTTTTGTTGGTCTTATTTTTTCGAGGCAGACCCGGGACCCATCGGACCTGGTTCCGGGACCCTAAGCACAAGACCCGTCGGGGATACGGATCGGATCCAAAACCGGTACATTATAATGGGTTAGGGTCCGAAATTTTCAATTTCGTCCCAAATCCAACCCGTTGACAGGCCTATATCAAATCAAACTCGATTCGAGTATCGAATAGTTTGGTCCATTTTTCAGTCCTAATTATGCACTTGACCACTAATCCAATAGAAAAAGGGAAAAAAGGGTTATTAGAGTCTATGCTTTGATTCTCTTTTCAATTTTATCTTTCCATAGAAGGGGTGGAGGAGACCAAAGAGAGTGGCGTAGACCATTTCGATAAGTTCATCATTAGGCCAAGCTCATCATTAATTTGTTCATTAGGCCCTAAGTTGTATCCACTATCCCTCTGAATCACCGGTCTAGTCAAACTAACACAACCATTAATCAACCAAATCCAAACGGAGATATCCAAACTCTCAATCTTCCAACTTCTTGCTTGTGATGGGAGTTACATTCAAATGTGTAATATAGGTCAAAACCATTTTAGTTGATGTCATTAATGGAATCATAAAAAAAAAAAATTCTATACGTCATATATGCTGTATATTATATAAAAGTAAAAGATAGTTTGTTATTTTTATGAATATATCTATCAGATATAGAAATTTTTTTATCTATCTCTCTCATAATTTATTTTCAGTTGTTTTTTACAGGCGAATTTAAAAACCTTTAAATTCTATTTGACGGTGAATGAAGAACACAATTAAAATAATAATGTATCAATTAAAATAATAAAATTTCCACACATTTTTATAGTCAGGGGTCCACCTAAGACTTTTACCGGGCTTTTGCCCAATTGTAGTGGGTTGTATAATCCCCATTTCTATAGGCTCTCCCGCTTTCTTCTCGCTCTCGGCATTGGCTCTAACAAGATCAAAGCTTGCAAACTAAAGCCAAATTCCCAATTCTTAGCATCATCGACGATCTAGGGTTTGTGATTTAATCTCAAGCTTATAAGGTAATAGTCCCTCTGCTTTTAATTTTTTGCCAATTCAATACATTTCAGGAGAATACTGCATATTATTTGGATTTTCTCTGCGTTTTGTTGTGCCGATTTTCACTGCTAAAATGGTGATATAAATTAGTATGAATTTTAGTAACAACAATAAACAATATTAAAAGAAACTATGGGGTGAGAAAAGGAACATGATTTTACTTGGGTTGGAAATTTTAACAGTGCAACTAGCATCTCTAAAGAAGAATTTTGTGTTCTAGTTAGTTATTTTCTGTGTTTCTGCAGTCTGGGTTCTGTGAATTATTAGAAACGGGATTATTAATGTATCTGAATAAATTTTCATTTTCAATTGATAGAAGTTTTGTCTGAATATTCGAGCATTCAGTGAAGGTGCTCATTCTTGCAATTTTCTTGGTACTTAGTTTTTTTTTTCAGTTACTTATTTTTTGTGGTTTTGATTTGCCAGTGCAGTGAATTTTACATTTTAAGCTGACCTGCTGGAGAACTGATATGGAGAATGAGGTGATGGACTACGATATAGGTTTGGGAGGTTCAGGAGGTGGAGGTGAAGATGATGGCCTGTATATTGAACAGGAAGAGGATGAGCCAGTGGTTGATGGTTCTCCCACTGCTGCCGGTAGTAGTGCTGGTGCTGGTGCTGTGGGTGGCTTCCAGGGCAGTGCCTCTTTAGAAACTTATATTCCTGAGGCAGACCCTGATCTAGAACCTTACGAGGGGATGGAATTCGAATCAGAGGAGGCTGCTAAGGCTTTCTACAATTCATATGCCCGGCGTGTTGGCTTCAGTACCCGCGTCAGCTCCTCCCGTCGCTCCAGGAAGGATGGGGCCATCATCCAGAGGTCCTTTGTTTGTGCTAAAGAAGGGTTCCGCAACTTGAATGAGAAGCGCACCAAGGACCGAGAAATCAAGCGTCCCCGGACCATCACCCGTGTGGGTTGCAAGGCCTCTTTATCTGTCAAGATACAGGACTCTGGTAAATGGCTTGTGTCCAACTTTGTCAGAGAGCATAATCACCAGCTGGTCCCCCCAGACCAAGTCCATTGCCTCCGTTCTCATCGCCAAATCTCTGGTCCTGCCAAGACCTTGATTGATACCCTGCAGGCTGCTGGCATGGGCCCCCGCAGAATTATGTCTGCTCTCATTAAGGAGTATGGCGGTATTAGCAAGGTTGGATTCACGGAGGTTGATTGCAGAAATTACATGCGAAATAATCGTCAGAGGAGTCTCGAAGGAGATATTCAGCTGCTTCTGGATTGTCTGAGGCAAATGCAGGCTGAGAACCCCAATTTCTTCTATGCAGTTCAGGGAGAAGAGGATCACTCTACTGGCAATGTCTTCTGGGCTGATCCTAAGGCCAGGGCCAACTATACTTACTTTGGGGATACTGTCACCTTTGACACGACTTACAGGTCCAACAGGTACAGATTACCCTTTGCACCGTTTACTGGGGTAAACCATCATGGACAGCCTGTTCTGTTTGGTTGTGCTTTCCTGATAAATGAGTCAGAAGCATCATTCGTATGGCTTTTCAAGACCTGGCTTGCGGCTATGTCTGGTTGTCCTCCAGTGTCCATCACCACTGATCATGATTCTGTAATTCAGTCAGCTGTCATGCAGGTTCTTCCTGACACTCGTCACCGTTTTTGCGAGTGGCATATATTCAAGAAATGCCAGGAGAAATTGTCCCATGTATTTCTTAAACATCCAAATTTTGAAGCAGACCTCCAAAAGTGCGTAAACTTGACAGAGTCCATTGACGAGTTTGAGTCCTCTTGGTTCTCTCTTCTTGATAAATTTGAACTTAGGGATCATGAGTGGCTTCAGGCACTTTATAGTGCTCGTAGTCAGTGGGTCCCTGTCTACCTGCGTGATACATTTTTTGCAGAAATGTCTATTACCCAGCGT